CCCCGTGTCATAGGCTCCCTGCGAGGCATCCCTCTCCCATCCTGTCCCATCCCATCATATCCCATTCCATGTCATCCCATCCCACTGCCATGCCCACCCAACCTGTCCCATCATGACTTCGTCCCACTCCCATCCTCATTCCTTACCACATCATCTCCATCCTGTCCCATCCCTCTTTCCTGTCCCATCCCCATCCATCCTGCTCCAGCCTATCTCCATCTCACCTTCATCTCCATGCCATCCCATTATAACCTGTCCCATTCCATCCCATCCCATCCCATCCCATCCCATCCCATCCCATCCCATCCCATCCCATCCCATCCCATCCCACACTCTGACACTCCATCTCAGCTCTACCCTGAATAAAAAACCTCTACCAAAGCATCCAAAACCTTTCTCAGGGATTTATGGACCCACTTTTGCACCCAGAGCAGGGCAGGGGTCGACCTCGCATCCAACAGGGATGCTGGGGCAGGAGGTCTCCCCCAGGACACCTTCTCAGCCTTTTTCTCTTCCCTGAGCCCCGAAGCAGCGAGAAGGCCCATTTTTTGGGTGAGAGCCGAGAGGCGATGGCAGGCAGGTGGATGCCTTTGAGCTGAGTCAGAGGGGCCCCTCCGCATCCACGCGCGAAGAAAACCCAACATTTAGCCCTTCGGAAGCAACACCCTGGGCTGGAAAAGCTTGGCGGGGTCAGGGAGGGTGACAGGGCTCGGTCTCACCTTGCCCACATGGAAGCAGTCATCAGCGGAGAGGGAGACACGCCGGCTGGGGCTGTAGAGGAGCGGGCGGGCGGTGCCAGCTTGCTGGAAGACGCCGTTGGCCATGCCCTTGACGCTGAGCGCGTAGACATCCTGCAGCCGCATCAGCGCCCGGGCGGCGCCATCAAGGTCCTCGGCTCCGGGCAGCTCCTGCTCCACCTCCCTGAAGCCAGCATGGAGTGCTAAGGGTGAATAATGGGGTGTATGGAGGGGGATTAATGAGCTTTTGGGGTGCAATTGCCCTTATTGGCCCTTTTCCATCTCCAGGGACCCCACAAGCTGCTCCTCCAGCTGCTCTTCTGCTTCTCTATTCATCCCTCTTCTTCTCCATCCAACCCTCTTCTCCTCCATCCAACCTCTTCTCCTCCATCCATCCCTCTTCTTCTCCATCCATCCCTCTTCTTCTCCATCCATCCCTCTTCTCCTCCATCCATCTCTCTTCTTCTCCATCCATCCCTCTTCTTCTCCATCCATCCCTCTTCTTCTCCATCCATCCCTCTTCTTCTCCATCCATCTCTCTTCTTCTCCATCCATCCCTCTTCTCCATCCATCCCCCTGCTCCTCCATCCATCCATTCTGCTCCTCTATCCATTCAGACTTGCCATTGCTAGGTTAATGGTTGGACTCGATCTTAACAATCTTTTCCAACATAAAGGATTCTATGATTCCACCCATCCTCCCTTCCCCTGCTCCTCCACCCATTCCCCTCCTCCTCCTCAATTTCTCCTCCTCCGTCACCCATTCCCCTGCTCCTCCACCTGATCTCCTGCTCCTCCA